TTGGATTGATGATCTCAGAGGTCCCTTCCAACCCAGCTGGTTCTATGATTCTCTGATTCTATGGCTCCCAGAGTATCCCATGGGAATTGTGTGGGCTCCAGAGGGGCAGGTCCTCACCGCTGCCCACGCGTTGGCTGAGCACCGCGAGCAAGACCAGCTCTCGTTCACCAGGTCTGGACGAATTCCGTAACAGCCTGAAAGAAAACAGTTACATCCTCATCAGGTCAGAGTTTTCCCAACATATCTGTGCTATTGACTCGTTGACTTTTCAGTTAGAAGCATCTCTGAGAGCAGGAGCAGCATTTGGATGATTATATTCAATAGGCTCAGACTAAAGTCTGAGGGGGCAGAATTTGGGACCAGCAGGTCTAAAAATAAACAAAAAATCCACATATAGGAAACTCTCAACATTTTTTTTTTTACTTTTCTAAGGATTACAATAACAGGACTTTGATCCTTCAGGCAGGTACTGGGCTCCAAAGTGATGCTATCACTGCTGGAAGGCACTCACACAGCAAAACAGGTAAGGTCACTGAATTTTGGCAAGGTTGAAGCAATTCTCTTTGCTACATGGTGTTATGAGGAAAGACAAATCCAATAATACTGCAAGGAAATTAAATACCTGCATTTCACATATTTAACAGTATTTAATTTATGGTTATATAAAGTGTTAGAAACATCTGATTTTACAGAGCATCAACTACTGTAACATGCAAGCACCAAATCCTCCCACAGCAACACCAAAATAGTAAAGTGGCATTAAAGCCATAATAAAGACAGAGAAATAAGAACAAAAAAGACCCTAAAATTCTGGAAAAGGTACTGAGGTTTGTCACTGAAAACAATGGGGAAAGACACAGAAATAGTTTTGAAAAAGTGGATCTATGTGATTCCTGCAAGCTTGTAAAGCAAGTGGAAAATTAAATACAAGCATCCCAAATAACACACAGCTCATCCCACCCAGCCTTTACCTATCCTACCAAAACCCCATCCAGCCTTCACCTATCCTGAAAAGCTGAACAGAAAGTTTCAGCTGGGAACAACAATCTCAAATTACCGAATTAAACTTAAACAAAGTCATTCAGAAAGCACTGGGATTGCCACCATAACCTGATTTATAAATATCATCCACTTAGCCAGATAAACAGCATGTCAAAAAAAGTCAATACTATGGATCTGCAGCTGTTCTCCACAGCTGAGATCTCTTTTCATCATATGGCAAATCAGGAAAGCAGATTCCACCCAGTCCTAGAACATGGGCAGGGTGTTCAGTCCAAAAACTGAGCTGAGACAGAAGCAGACACTGAGCTGGAATAGTGCTGGACCTCACAGAGGTGGGGAGCAGGCTGGGATTTCAGTATGGATTTCTTGCTCCAGGGCCACAGGCAGCTGGAATATGGGATCTGGGAAAAGGAGACTGAGGGGGGACCTTATTGCTCTCCACAACTCCCTGGCAGGAGGCTGGAGCCAGGAGGGGGGTCGGGCTCTTCTTCCTCATAAAAAGCAACGGGATGAGAGGAAACAACCTCAAGCTGTGCCAGGGGAGGTTTAGACTGAAAATTAGGAAAAATTTCTTTATGGAAAGAGTTGTGAAGCATTGGCACAGGCTGCCCAGGGCAGTGGTGGAGTCACCATCCCTGGAGGTGTTCTAACAGCGTGTGGATGTGGCACTTGAGGACACGGTTTCGTGGTGAACCCGGTGGTGGTGATGGGGTGACTGTGGGACTTGATGATCTTAAAGGTCTTTTCCAATTTTAATGATTCTATGAGGGGAGAACAATCAGATTTACCGAGCCCCAGACTGTCCCATAAGGACAATCCTAACAGACCAAGAAAAATATGCCCTTTTTATGGATTTTGTCAACGCCTCAAAAGCCCAGAAACCTTCCCAAAACCTTCCCAAAACCTTCCCCCTCCGTCTGTTCCGGCTGCTGCCGTAACCCAGCACAGTTTGGGAGGACACTTCTCAAGAACACTCAGGCTGCCAACTGGTTTTACAGCACAGATTAGCCAAAATACACCTCTCAACACTGCAATCCTGCAATAAAAGCAAATGGATCCTCTGCAGCAAAGTCAAAGGCACGTCACAGACTCGGAGCACAAAGAAGGAAACAAGAATTCGCTGGAGACTCCAGCAGATTTAAGGTCCATCCTGTCCTCAAGGGGAAAGCACAGCCAAAATAAAAAGCTGCTTTTCTCTATACCTTGAGTGTGCAGATTAACATCATCTTGCCCACACCCCTCTGTCCCTAAACAGAATTTGGCCACTGAAACCATTTTGATAGGCTGGACTATTGCAGACATATGGATGGACAAGATGCAGCATCTCTGATTGCTACAGAGGCCACAATTTGGGAAGGAAGGAACATCCTCACTGTGCTTATTAGCCAGGAATGACCATAATCAGGGATTCAGCACAGAAATAAAAGTTGCCTTCCAGTTCTCCACCAGAGCCAGCCCTGCTGAGCTGCGTGGGGACCTGCAGGCTCTAAAATTGGAACAACAAAAGTAATTCCAGCTGATGCAAGTCAAATAAGATTCCCCATCTGTCAAGATCAAACAGCTGAGCAGGAATTTGTCACATCTCCTACGAGCCCAAATGTTAACTGGATGTTGTACAATCCACACTGAAGGTACACACTCCACCAGGATTAATCAGATCTCCTTTTAGACATAACTATCAGGGAAGCAAACAGACATATGTTCCCTCTTGTAATCAAGTGCCATTACTACAAACAGTATCACAGACACTAATAAAATGTATCTCCAGCTCCTCCATAATCTCTGCTGCACGCAGGAACAATACAGCCTCACCCAGCAGAGCAATTTTGGGAGGAAATATTTGAGAGGAAAGAGTGCAATAAGCCTTGGGAGCTCTGCTTTATTACAGAAAATGAAAGATATCGAAAGAAAGAATCTTTTCTGTGAGACAGAAAAAGGATCAGCCAAAAAACAACCCCTAAAAGGAATATTGGTGTGTATTTTTAAGATCAGTGACTGCCAAGGTGGACTTGAATATACAGATATTCCTTCTAGTGGAAGGTGGTCCTGCCTGTGGCAGGGGGTTGGAAGTGGATGATTTTTAAGGTTCTTTCCAACCCAAACCATTCTGTGATTCCAAGATACACTTGCAGTAGAAAAGGAAAAAAAACAGGAGTGACAGGTGTAGCAACCCTGGAACTCAAATACAGGCAACACACAAATAAACTCAGGAGTTTCTCAATGCCCCAAAGGCTTTGGGAAGGAGGGAACACTCACTGGCATGGACCTGCAGGCAGCATTTGGCACAGGATATCAAGGGACTGGTTCCATCCTCTCCAATGTAGGAATTTGAAGGAAGGGGCTCTGTGTTTTCCCCACTTGAGGTAAAGCACATCTCTGGGATCAGGGGCTTGGTCTTCTGGCCACACTTGGAGAGGTGAATGAAAGAGGATGGTTCCCCTCCGGAGACTGGGCCAGCTTCCTTATCCACCTGTAAGGACTTGGAGAGGAAATGTCAGCACATGGAATCACCTCCTCCCTGGGCACAGTTTAAACTTTCAAGGCTGAGCACTCCCCTTGCAAAAAACCCACCAAGCACCTGCCAGCAGACAGCCAAAACCTGAGCCTTAAAACCCAATTCCCAGGCACAGCCCACCCCTGCCTTGCTCCTCTTCCTGAGGTCTCTCCTGGGACCTGTAATTTGGTTGGAAAAGCTCAAAGAAGCTTTAGAATAATGAGCAGCTTTTCCTGGTTTTCTTTTGCAAAAAATCTGAATTCCTAAATTGTGGCTGAAAACACTGAGGAAAAATAAAAAGGAAAATCTTATTTAAAGCAAGACCTTCCCTCCCCCTCTCCCACCCCTCTGGCATCCTTCCCTACTCTTCCTGCAAGAATTCCTCCTGAAGGACATTTCAAGGTTTCTGGTAGCAGGCAGAGTTAAAAGCAATGGATTAAACCAGCCCAGCTGCACCCAGTTTTCCTCAGAACCATCAAACAACATCCAGCAATCAGAACAGATATTTTATTTTCAGTCTCTATAATAAATCAAAGAGATTTTATTGAAGGGGGGGGAGGTGGGTCCTGCTTTTTCTCAGAAAAAGCTCCCAACACATATCCAGGGAATCTAAGGCACATATTCCTGGTGGACACACAAAGCCAAATCTGGCTTTCTGTAAGAACAAATCAATACACAACTGAGCAAATGACTAATTCATCTGATGAATTTTTGCCTTTCTGCTCATAACATCTCCCAGAGCATATTGGTAGTTTCCAAAAGAGATGATGGATGTGCTTACTCAGTAAATCTTGATTTTGTTGCTTGTTTGCATATATTCAGCAGTCTGGGCCTGTGCTGAAACACCAGCAATCACCAGCTTGATGTGCAGAGTTTTCTGCACATGAAACAAGTGTTTGCAAAGCTCTTTAAATGTGTGATTTTAAAAAATGAACACTGAGAAAGCCAGAGAAGCCAGGAAAAAAAAACAAACACAAAAAAAACCCCAAAAAGGCTGTGCCAAATCCAAACACTTTCCTTTGGGGTGCAAATTTGTAGGGGTCTGTCTTTATTATAAATGTCTACATCCTAATTCATCCATCTGAGCAGTATCAGAGGTTTAGATTAGATATTAGGAAAAATTTCTTTTTGAGAAGCATGGTCAGGTATTGGAACAGGCTGGAGCCTCCAGCCCTGGAAGCATTCAAAAAACATGGGAATATGGCACTGGATTTAGTGGTGAATGTGGGGCTGGGTCTGGACTGAGAGCTGGACTTAATCTTAGAGGTCTTCTCCAAGTTTAATGATCCCATGTGAGGAGTTACCTGGTTGTAGGGGTAGAAGAGGGTGCAGACAGCACAGTATGGCTCACTCAGGGCAGCAGCTGCATTGAATTTTCTTTCAGCTGGGAAATTAAGTGCTTTATTCTTCCACTGGAAGGAAAGTAAAGATTTCAAAGCCTCTGGATCACTCATATCTTCCTCTCCAGAAAATGGAAACGTTTCTAGAATGAAAGAAATAAAATCCCAAAACAATGGACAGTCAGGAGAGGTTTATAGATAGAACAGGTGAAATGGCAGCAAGGTTGAGTAAACAGCTCATTCTCAGCAATACAAGTGCAATAAATAAAAATATTCATCCATGGTTCCTCATATGCCTTAAATACTTCCTAAATGGATATAATTCCTACTGTATGGGGAGGATGGACAAGACAGGGACAGAAATGACTTAATGGAACTGGTCATGAGAAGGAGGAAGAAGAAAATCTGGATTTACTGCCCTCACAACTCTGCCTTCTGGCTGTGGAAACCTATTCCATCCTAATGAAGCTTTAATTTGAACTTTAGTAAGTTCAAAACACATGATGTGTCCCTTTGCTCTCTCCAAGTGGGAGCTGCATTCTCTGGAAGATGTGGATGCAGTTGGTGCTGGTTTGGTCAGGACAGTTCCCAATTCCCACCACTCAGAGTGTTCCAACCTTCCCAAGGTGCCTCCTGTGCCTGTTCCACCAACACCAACCTTGGCTCTGGGATATCCTGGGTTCAGGTGTTCCTTCCACAGCCATTCCAGGGAGGACACACCACTAAACCCTCCCTTTGCTCTCCCCACCATCCCTCCCTCTGCCAGAGCTCTGCCAGAGCTGCTCCTGCTAATTAGTTTGCTAATTCTTGCTTTTCATAAACCTTTAAAAGGCCCTTGGCCTTTCAGGATTAAACCACTGCAGGATCCATTTGGGGGGCCAAGTTTCTTACCCTTCCTTAAGGAAGGAAATTTGAGTCACTGTAAGTGTTAAAGAAATTTTCCACACAAGCCTAAGTGTAAATCAGTCCCTGCATCACCAGTCTGCAAAGTTTCCAAGAGAACAGGGAAGTCAAAAACATCTTGGTAGAACATTATCCCCAGAGCTCAGCACATTAAACCAAATTGTTCACTGCCTCACTGTTAATTACTAGAAATAAGCAGTTAATGTTCTGCTCTATAGGTCTTAAGTCTCCTCCCCAATTCTCCCTCCCTTTGAAGATTTTCTGACTCTCAGGTTACCTGAAAGGATAAAAGGAACTTGGAGTAAAACATTAACAGCTGAGTTCACATCTCAGATTTTAAATGTTCCCCTCGACTAATCTAATACAGAATTGCCAGACAATGTGGAAATTTGATTATGTTTAATTAATCACTCCTCTTTGGGAGGTGATGGATGCTGTCTGTGTGGCTCTGTCATACTTCAAACCAAGGTTACTTCCTAAAAAGTGCCTTTTCTTTTCAAGACATGAGTCAAAAACCTCATGTTTCTCCAAATTTTAGTTGAGGCACATCAGGTGACAGGCAGGGATTTATGATACCAGTGAAATCAATGCAAGCAGCATCCTAATCCAGAGTGACAGAGGGAGAGAAAAAGGGAATGACTGCTGTGTGTTATCACCTTCTCTCCTCCCAGGATGGACCCTGGGGGACACACAGCTCCTACCCTGCAAGTAAGGAGGGACAAACAATTTGTCTGGACTTAATCTTAGTGTAGCATGTGCTTAATTTACATGCTCACTGTTCCTCTTGCAGCCTTCAGATCATCCTGGTAGATCATTCCCTGAAAAAGCAGGGAGTGCAGAGAGCTGCTTCTATTCCCTGGTGGGGAGGGAAGACTCTGTTTGATCAGACTGTGCCCAGCAGGGCTGTAAATCAGCCCCCAGGAAATGCTCCTGCTCCAGCAGCCAAGTCCCCAGACACCATCCAACAAAAGTCAAGGCACTGGGAAGAATCTGCCTAATGAGGAGCTTCCAGCACAAAGTTGGCTGCAAGGTCTCACCCCAAGAGAAGGTAACGAGTCTCTGCTGCCCCTCAGCTCTTCACTCCACCTCACACACCCCAAGACATCAAAGGCATCCTCCTTGGTGAGGAAAGGGGTGTTCAGGATAACCCCTTCCTGCAGGAAGCTTCTCTAAAACCAAGGGATGTGTTCTCTGAAGGGAAGGGAACAGGGAAGGTGTTGTCCTTTGGAATGAGGAGCTGTGAGTAAGGACTGGCAGCTACACCCACAGCCCTGCCCCAACACACAGAATTTACTGTGGCCTTGTCTGTATTCATGGGGAAAGACCCAAAAGTGGGAAATTACACCACAAAACAGAGTGAGAGGCAGGAGTCTTTTTTTTTCCCCTTGGTCCAGACTGCTGGGGCATTCACAGGGACTGGAATGTGGGAAAAGAAGGATCAGTGATGCGCAGTTAAGCACTGACAGACTTGAATTCTCATTTCTGCATCTGCCAAGAAAAGTTGGGCCCCAACACTGACATGAATTAAAAGCCTTTAAAAGGTTAGAATTAACTCTCCCTACACACACAAGAGCAGGCCTGACCTCCACTGCCTTCCAAGGGGAACAGATCTCATTCCACTCCAATATCTGACACGGAGCTTTTCCTTTAAGATGCAATTTTCTGTGAACTCTCTTTTCCCTTTGCCCAAAATGCTGCCTCACTTTGCAGCCAGCAAAATATTTTTCTTGAGAGGAAAAAAAAAAAAGAAAGGTGGGAGGTGAGAAGGGAACACCTCCCATGGAGGAGTTTTGTTTCCAGCTGGGTTATCAAAACAGGAACACGCTGCATTTTCCACCAGTGAAGTGGAACACACAAAGTTTCAGGGCACCCAGTTATGGGAATGGCTTCAGGAATTTTGTGGATCAGGCAAGACAAACATTCCTGGTGGTGCTTCACTCACCCTCATCACTTGAGGTCTCCTGTTTGACCACGGACAGCGGGGAGCGGGTCGGGGGTTTGCCCAGGGGGTGACGACGACTCTTTTTGATCTCCATCTTCATTTTGGAGAAAGCAGAAGCAGTCTGGAAGGAAGCAGAACAAGCTGGATGGGCCTCCCAAAGGAGGGAACAGGACAAGAGAGGCAGAACTCTTGTCAAAAAGGGTTCTGAAATTCACACAGCAAACTTTTCAATGCTTTTTGGCTGAAACGCTTCAGTTTTCTGAGCCAATTCCTGTAGCTGATAAAAGCCAACACTAACTCTCCAGAAGTTGGGTAAACTACAGAGTTTTCTTCAAGTCAGAACAGGCTCAGAACATCTGCAAGCTGCCAATTCAATTTGCTAATGAAAAGTCTGGTCAATCACATGCACAGCTGGGAACTCCATGAAAATTATGGATCATCAAATCCCAGAATGGGTTGAGTTGGAAGGGACTTTAAAACACATCCAGTCCCACCCCCTGCCATGGGCAGGGACACCTTCCACTATCCCAGGTTGCTCCAAGCCCTGTCCAATCTGGCCTTGGACACTTCCAGGGATGGAGCAGCTACACCTTCTCTGGATAATCTGTTCCAGGGCCTCTCCACCCTCACAGGGAAGAATTCCTTCCCAATAACCCATCCAGCACTGTCCTCTGGCAGTGGGAAACCTTCACCCTTTGTTCTCTCACTACATACCCTTGTGGTGTGCATGTACAGGCCATGCAGGACCAGAAACATTTTCCTAGAACATTCCAGCATATTTACATTGTACTGGACCCACTGCCCCATTTCCCAGTCAACACTAAGTACATTCACCCTCATCCCAGGAGCTCCCCATCCTGAACTGAACCACAGACTGAACTGTGAGAAAATATTCCCTCTCTCCCTGTAAAAGCCCTCATCCCAGGAGCTCCCCATCCTGAACTGAACCACAGACTGAACTGTGAGAAAATATTCCCTCTCTCCCTGTAAAAGCCCTCTGTGGCTCCCCAGCACGGCACTATTCCACTGGAGGCTCAGAAACAATCACGGAATCAGAGAATGGCTTGGGTTGGCAAGGGCCTTGAAGGTCATGGAGATCCTTCAGGAAGAGCAGAGAGACCTTTCACTAGCCCAGGGTGCCCCACCCAACCTGGCCTTGGACACTTCCAGGGATGGGACAACAACTGTGGACTCCTCTCATTACAACAAGTTACTGCTTCAAACCAGCAGATCTTACAGTGCTTGCTCATGGAAAGCTGCCAATCACTGACCTCTGCAGTGACCTCTGGGGTTGCTGGCTCTGCATTCTCCTCCTCCTTCCCAGGGATCTCCAGGGGCACCGCCTGCTCCCTCCATGCCAGGCTCTTCTGGGTGGCGAACTGCTCGAAGGCCTGCTGGCAGGACATGCGCTCCTTGTCGAACACCACCTTCTTGGTCCTGGGCACCACGTAGAGCATGGGGATGATGGGCCTGGGTTTGAAATCCTCCTCCTCCACCGGCGCCTCCGAGGGCTGGATGATGTTCAGGGGACCCGGGGGCAGGTTCTTCTCCGCCGTGGCCGGCGCCGGGGGCACCGGTGGCCGCGCTGCCCCCGCCTCGCCCTCTGCCAGCTGCTGCTGCTGTGGGGCTGGGGGTGGCACTGGGGGCTGCACGGGGGGCTGAGGGGCCTGGAGGTGGTGCTGGTGTTGATGGAAAAGGTGCTTCTTCTTCCTCTCGCCTTTCACTTTGGGAGGACGGGCCTTTACTTTGCACTCCCCTGTTTCAAGAGAACAAGGACAGTGAGCTCCTGGGCCAAGAGCCAATATTTACTGTTTCCCTCCTTTCAACAAAGAGCTCCACTGCTGGGCTAACCTGTCCCACCATGGCACCATTGCTCTAACATGTCCCATCATTATTGTTCCAACATGCTCCATCATGGCATTACTGCTCTAACCTGTCCCACCATGGCATTATTCCTCTTATATATCCCATCATGGCATTACTCCTTTAACATATTCCATCATGGCTTTATTCCTGTAACATATCCCATCCTGGCATTATTCCTCTAACATATCCCATCCTGCAATTATTCCTCTAACATATCCCATCCTGGCATTATTCCTCTAACATGCTCCATCATGGCATTACTCCTCTAACCTGTCCCATCATGGCTTTAGTCCTCTAATATATCCATCATGGCATTACTGCTCTAACATGCTCCATCATGGCTTTATTCCTCTAACATATTTATTGCTCTAACATGTCCTAGCATGGCTTTATTCCTCTAACATATCTCATCATGGCATTATCCTCTAACATGTTCCATCATGGCTTTATTCCTCTAACATATCCTATCATGGCATTATTGCTCTAACATGTCCCACCATAGCATTATTGCTCTAATATATCCCATCATGGCATTACTCCTCTAACCTGGTCCATCATGGCTTTATTCTTCTAATATATCCCATCCTGCAATTATTGCTCTAACATGTCTCATCCTGGCATTATTCCTCTAACATACTCCATCATGGATTATTCCTCTAACCTGGCCCATCATGGCTTTATTCCTCTAATATATCCCATCATGGCATTATTCCTAACATATCTCATCCTGCAATTATTGCTCTAACCTGTCCCACCCTGGCATTATTGCTCTAACATACTCCATCATGGATTATTCCTCTAACCTGGCCCATCATGGCCTTATTGCTCTTATCCCATCATGGCATTATTCCTCTATCATGTCCCATCATGGTATTATTCCTCTAACATATCCCATCATGGCTTTATTCCTCTAACATTTCCCATCATGGCTTTATTCCTCTAACATATCCCATCCTGCAATTATTGCTCTAACATGTAACAATCCTCACATTATTGCTCTAACATGTCCCACCATGGCATTATTGTTTTAACATGTCCCACTATGGCATTATTGCTCTTATCCCATCATGGCATTATTCCTCTATCATGTCCCACCCTGGTATTATTCCTCTATCATGTCCCACCCTGGCATTATTCCTCTATCATGTCCCACCCTGGCATTATTCCTCTAACATGCTCCATCAGGGATTATTCCTCTCCAACAGGCCCCCTGAGAGCTGCAGACATCCAGCTGTGCCTCAGCACTGCCCTAGAGAAGCCCATGCTACAAAGAAAAGACTTGTGTCATTTCTATGGACTATTAAATTCTTGACTGGAGCAGAAAGGCTGCCAAAATGAATGTTTCCTGAAGGGAAAAATATCTAAATCCCTAAGAAACTGGACAGTGTGCCAAAACTCATGTCATTTATTACATTAGCCCTGACTGTATTTCAAGTATTTTGTATCAGCAGCCTCCAAAGTTGGGGGCACAAAACCATCCACTGGGGTGCAGGAAGGAAATATTTTTGTACTGTTAACAAAATAAAATATATCTCTAGAGTAGGGTTTATTTTATCTTTAGGTCTTCCTTTTTTAAATCTCTGCTTTTCTGTATGTCTGTAACAGACATATCAGCACAGAAATACAAGTGTACCTGGGTATTTCTGTGCTATATATAAAGAAGTAAGTATATAAATAAAGACATACATCAGGAAGTGTGCTCAATTTTTTTTTTTTTTTTGCTGATAAGGAGGTGCAATCAAAAAAGTTTGGAGGGCCCCATTCTGTATCATATTGTGCTAAACCTCTGGTCCTCCCTTTATTTGCAAGCCCAGCTCTTATCTGGGTAATAGTGTGTGTCAACGTGCTCAACAGCCCCAGGAAATGAAGAATTGAACAAGGACACCTGAATCATTATTACCAGAAGATTTCTGCTGTAAAGACTTTTTAAAAGATGCCTTTAAAGCATAAATCAGGCAGAGCACTGAGCTAAGCCTGTTACAGACCCCACACCAGCACGGGATACTGAGACATCCTTTGCACTGTCCCTGTTTCTCCCAGCTCACTGTCACTCATTTGATCTGAACAGGTCTCTCACAGGGCTCTGACAACACTTCTGGAACAGATAAACATCCCAATATCATCATAAAAGGCCCATAAAAGTCTCCCCACCTCTCTTCCCAATGGAACTCTCTTATGGGAACCACACACTGATTTTCCAGCAGTGGCTAAAACTCCTGCTGGCCACTGAGGGAGTGTCTCAGGTTAGGAGAGGAGCTGCCTTCCCCTCTTCCCTCTGCCATGATGTATGTTCCCACTGCCCAGCTCCTCCCTCACTCCAGGGATGGAGTTACCAGTTCCCCCAAAGGCAGGGAAACCAGATGCTCACAGGCAGAGGGCAGGGCTCCACTGATTCCAGAGGAGATTGGTTTCCACCTCCAGATGCTGTGACAAAAGGTCATTTCCCATAACAGGATGGGAGGAAGAGCTGGTGACACCCCAATAATGATGTTTCACCAACCCCAACCTACTCAGACCCTTCCACTACTACCCCAAACCTGACCAGTCAAACCCAGTAAATGGAAAACCAGATAAACCATCACACAAAAACAAGGTGTCTGCAGGAGGAAGGGTGAACAACCCAACAATGAGATAAAGTGCCAATATCCCTGCTGAAATCTTCCAGGGAATACCTCAGCCTCAGCATTTCCCACAAGTCTGCTCTGGGATGACTTTATTTACACTAACTTATAAACATGGGAACAAGTCCAGCCCAAATAATTATAGCTGTGCTTGTGTAGGCAGTCCCTCAGATAAACTGATTTGTTCTATCACAGAGAAAGGAATATTGAATTTCCTTAGAGAAACAAACCCAGTGAATGAAAGGCAAATTGGATTTCTCCCCAGTTGCACAAAACCAGATCATATTTACTCTCTATACACTCTGAGAATTCTCTCCCCAACAACACCACAAATGCCATTCACCAGCTTTATTGACTTCCAAAGGGTAATTTGACAGCAGCTGGCACGTAGAACTGGGCTTAAAAGTCTTTGCATTAAGATGAACAAATGAGTTTGCAAGTGAATCTATAGAATCAGAAGCCAGGGAAAAGGGAGGTTAAATTCCAAGTGCTTGTCTTGGCTGTCCTGAACATTTCTAGGAAGGAAAGGGGTCTGCAGGCACAAATCCACTGTAGGTTAACAGAGGAAGGTCTTTGCTGTCCTTCCTCGTGTAGCAGAGCTGGAAAACACGTGTGACAATGTGGTGTCATGGGGAGAAGTGTCCAGGGATAATGGGAAATAATGGACAGAGTTCAGGAAAGCTGAGGAGCAGCTGAGGGAGCAGGAGGGGCTCAGCCTGGAGAAAAGGGGGATCAGGGGGGACCTTCTGGCTCTGCAGCCCCCTGGAAAGAGGTTGGAGCCAGAGGGGTCAAGCTCTGCTCCCAGGGAACAAGGGACAGGACAAGAGGAAACGGCCTCAAGCTGTGCCAGGGGAGGGTCAGGTTGGACATCAGGAGGAATTTCTCCATGGAAAGGGTGCTCAGGCATTGGAAGGGGCTGCCCAGGGAGGTTTGGAGTCCCCACCCCTGGAGGTGTCCAAGGAAGGCCTGGATGTGGCACTCAGTGTCTGGGGACAAGGTGGGATCAAAGGTTGGACTTGATGACCTTGGAGGTCTTTTCCAACCTCAAAGACCCAGGGATTCTGTGATATCTTTGAGGGGAAGGGGTTTTGGTGAGGAAATCAAACCCCTTCCATAGGACCCCACACCACAGCTTTGTGAACTGGGATTATAAAAAGATGCTAAAGGAGCCTGGAATTCCTCCATTGCAGCAGCATCTCCTGGGATGGGGCAGAGACAGTTAGAAATGGATTCCAGCACCAGAGGGAAGGTTTGTAGCCCAGTCTGCAGGACTCTCACCAGGCACAGCACCACAGGCAACACCTGCTGACTCACAGGAGAGATTTCTGCTGCTCAGCACCCCAGGAGAGCAGCAGAGACTAAAGACTCTCCTTTCTCGTGTCCCAAGACAACCTGCTAAGAGTTCTGAATATATTAATAGCAACATAATAAATTATGAATGCAAAGCTGAGTCACAAAAACCAAAACAAAGCACTGTTAAGGGATCTGGGTCAGAAATCCTGAAAACCTCGAGTTATAAATACTCAGCTTGTCCAAATAACCAGCACGAAGCACAAGATGTACTTTGAAACCCTGATTACTCTGAAATCTCCTTCTTCCTCCTTTTTCAAGGTCATCTCTACTGGTGTAAACAGAAAATCAAGCCAAATTAAAACTAGAGAATAAAGAAAGGAAGGGAAGGAGGTGGGGGGGGAGCTGAATTGCCACGAGCAGGACCATCCAAGCAGATGCTCTTTTCTTTTTTCAAGATGAAACCCTAAGACACTGGTGAGAGGCAGCAGGATGTGGAAAACTAGAGAAGCCATTGGGATTTAATTGCTATATTGCAGTGAGAAAGCTGTATATTTGCTCACAGCCACACCAAGCCTGTTCCAGTGGCACTTGCTGCAATGGTGCTGAAAATCAGCTTTTCCCTCCTGAGCTAAGAGTTAAAGAGCTCTTAAGATGTAGTGGAAGGGTATGATTTGGAACCTATTCAGCTAGAACAGAGTTTTTATTGTTCCTTGGCCATTCTAATGATCTCAGATCTGTCCCTGTCACTTATCTCTTGTCTCCGAAGAAAAATCAGCATTTTCGGGCCATTTATTCCAAACATCAAGTGTTAAACTTGTACAAGAGCTCAGAGCAGACAATTTAACACACTGCTGCTGCTTCCAGGCTCAGGGCAATAGAAATTAAGTGTCTGCACTGTGCTGCTGCTCTGTGCAACAATGATTCTCCAACCCCTGATTTCCCCTGAAAAGAGAAAATACACTGTCTAGTTAAGAGGCTCTGGAACTGAACAAAGCCCTCGATTCTCTTCCCAGAGCTTCCATAGATTTCCTTTAAGATCATTATCAAGGTTCTCTAAACACTTTGCAGCATCAGTTTCTCCAAGTGCTAAACAAATAATGGAATGTACACAATAGATTAAAATTAATTCACTTCTCGGAGAAGCCTCAAGGAGGGAGTGGATCAGACACAGCAACCACTTAACCACACACGTTAGGGGGGGAAAAACCAGCTTTTTCCCAGCAAAAATTGCAACTTTTGCTACACAGCCAAGAAAAAAGGTGTCACAGAAAGAGCCTCCTGCTCCATGGGTGAGTTCAGGCCTTGGGAATAACCATGTGCAGGAGAAATCCCAAAGGATTGGGAGCTGTCATGGACTGGTTTTAATTTCAGCCAGGCAAAGAAAGCTGAAAAGCTTCCCTGCTCCAGCTGGACTTGAAGAAACCCAAGTGGGACTCGTGTAGCAGCTGAGGATCCCTCCCAACCTAAAGCTCCCTGGATTCAGCCTGTGAGAAATGGGAATAAAGGGAGGGAAAGAGGAAAGATGAATTGCACAGGGCAGTGCACAAATCAATCCTCTCCATGAGAGGGATGCAAAAATATATTTTATTTGTTTCCCTACGAAATATTTTTTTAAAATATTCCCCCCATAATATATATTTTTACAAACCTCTCATATTTTCAAACCTTACCAAGAAAGCTATTGGGACTGAATCCTTAAAGAGAGGGAAAAATCAGCTGCTGCTGTGAGTGATGGTGTATTGCAGGGAGCATGGGAAAAACTCTGCTGATATTTCAACAGAAATAAACAGCAGCACAGAAGTTATTTACAGAGGTGTTTTTAGAGAGATAACTTGCCCCAACTCTTCACTACCACCAGTGAGCAGGGCCCTCACCTTCTCCCTCAATCCCTTTGCTTCTCTCCTCTTCCTCCAGGTCTGTCCCTCTTTTCAGCTCCTCTTTTACTTTCACGTCTTCCAGGGCAGTTTCAATGGCCATGACATCCCCCAGAGACTTCTGATCCTCTGTTTTGTGTCTCCTGTTTTGACTCCTTTTTCTGTGAGACCTGGAAGTACAAAAGTGGGATCTGACATGAAAGCACAGCCTTCAATACAGAAAACCATCACTGACTTAAAAAAGCCGAACCCAAAACAAAAGGATCTTCTTTGGAGTGAAAACACAAGGTAGTTAAAATAGCTACAGGGCAAAGGAGATATCTGAAAGGGAGCAGATGAACCTTGCATAACACAACATTTAAGATCCATTCTTGCAGCCATTAATTGTCTGGGTTTCCTGAAGAGCTTTTTCCCACCATCACTAATGTAAGCTCACAAGCTGCAGTCAAAGTGATTTTAATTGTGGTTTTAAATCTATTTTGCTTGTATTTCAAAATACAGATGAAAACTTGTTTAAATCTCTCTTTCATCCACTGCCTCCATTCCATTATTTCAGTTCATTCTGGCCGTGCTTCCCTTTGGCAAACTGCTGGAAGTCTGCAAAGCATCATCTCCCAGCTCTGAGACATTACCCAGCACTGCCAGTTCCTAAAAAACACACCATAATGAATGTTCAGAGCAAAATCAATAGGCAGACTATGATTATTCAGTGGTATAATTCACAAGGTCCAAGGCCTTGAAGAAATCTAACTAAAAAATAGGTGTATTAATATGATCAGACTAATACTAATGAGCCAATAGCAGTGCTGTTCATTCTTTTTAAAGTCAATGCCACTAAGAAAAAGAGATTACAGCAGCCACAATGCAAAGAAAAATGCAAATTCAGAAGTCAGGATGATATTTTTCTTGGTTGGGAACAGTAGGAAGCCAAGCACCCACCCAGACACTCCCTCCCCACTGCTCAAGAGGGTCAGGGGGGGAAAACAGGAAGAACAAGAGCCAGAAAACTTGTAAGTCAAGACAAATGCAGGTGAAGGAAAGAGGGAAGGATGAAAAGAGAAAGAAATAAGCCCAGGAAATGCACTCACCGTGTCCCCCAGGCAGAGCAGTGCCCAGCCAGGCTCCAAACAACCCCCACCCCAGAAGCCAAACCCCTCCTTCTTCTTCCTCTCCCCCAGTTTTTATTGCTCCCCATCCCATTTTATGGCACAGGAGCTCCCTTTGGCCACTCTGGGCCAGCTGTCCCAGCTGGGTCCCCTCCCCATCTCTCACCCACCCCACAGAGGGGGGGGAAAATAAAGCCTTGACACTGTGCCAGTGAAACCAAAACCATCAGAGCCTTCTGAGCACTGGTGTGGCCACAATTCCCAGCAACTCCATCCCAGCCAGTCCCAGTCCAATGTTTTTACAGAACCCATCCAATAGCTCCTTGAATTTTGGGTTTAAGTCTAACATGCTCTCTTTTCAAAAGAGGCTGATCCAGAAACTTGTCATTTTTACCCCATTTTTAGCATGTAGACACTTTTTTGGGGGGGGTGTGTGACAAACAGTCAAACACAACCACTGCCTAAGAATGTAGAAAAGCTGAAATTCAGCTTCCCATCCTTGGAGCCCAGAAATTCAGCTGCTAATTAGATTTGCAGCACAACAGAATTAAGGGCCCTTAATCAGGTAACTGCCAAAGGAGGGAGAAAAAAAACTTCCACCTGAGATGGAAGATGAATAGAAAAGCAGGTTGATCCATATGCACAGAGATTTCTAATTGCCAGACTCTGAGCATATGGTGGCTCTCCAAGTATAGATGTTGCCTTCACACCTGCAAGACAGTCATTAGCAGGAACACAGAGCTGAACCCAAAAGGATCAGCTTTGCTCTTCACCCATATTCCAAGTCCACATCACCTTCCCTGGAGGGGGAGGAAAGGCAGGTGGGAGGAGAAAATAAAGCTGTGAGACTCTGTCATTGCAGCTGGAACTTTTTTTTGTAGCTGCAGAAAGCATCAGAGTGGTGTCAAAGGGTGGTTTTAGGAAAGGGTGTTTTATTCCTGTGGGGTGGAAATGCCAGGTAATAATGACAGCACAAAGCTTTATACTCACAGGAGATAAAATACTCACAGGAGCTAAAAAAGGAAAAAAAAGATCTGGCAGTGCTCTTCTCACTCTGGAGTTATGGGGAAGAGAGGCAGGAAGCTCTACATTTAAAGAAACTGCTTCCAGAACTGCAGGCTGAAGGCTGAGCAGCTTCCCAGGTGAAGCTGTTCTGGGTCTGCCAGAATTCACACACCAGAAATGGGCTGTTGGGGACTGGACTGGACTAAAAACAGTCTCTTGCTGAAGCCACAAAGTAAACAAAGTTGAGTTTTTCAAGGTAACTAAGTCTGACTGACCTTAGAGAAGAAATAACACATCTCTGCAGAGTTTAAAAGCTCCATTTTCCAGGAGAGCTGACAAAAAAGCAGCGTTTGTACTCTTTGAAGAACAGACCACAAAGTGACTTAAATTAAGTAGCTACAACTGTGAAGAGGTTTGGGCAGAGGTGAATCCCTTCCCTCCATCCTGCTGAGAAAAATCAGGCTTCAAGTAAAATGATGTCTTGGAAAGACATAAGCACAGGAGAGAATGTACTGCTAAGGAGTATTGAACAGCTTCAAAACTGCTTCAGGATAATACTGAAATAATCCAGGCAACACTGAAGAGATAAGGAAAAAATGTACCTGGATCTTTTGCAATAGGCTCAGGTTGAGAGAGAGGCTTCTCTGCTGAGGGAAAATAATCCTTGGTGTTCATACAGTACCTTACACTGTGCAAATATTTATATATATAAGTAACCCTTAATAGTGACAGGCAGCAAAGAGATTCCCAATTTCCAGATGAGGAAGGAAAAGCTCCAGGGACCCACTGGAGTTCAGTCATTGCCCAGAGAGCACAAATGGCAACTTTCTGACTGAGATTGCACTGCTTTTCCTGAAGCTCATTATAGAAGGAATAGCTGCAAACATCTTAGGAATATAACCTCTGGGGCAGAGCAATATTGCAGAGGTCAGACATCTGCCAAATGCCATATTTATTGTGTCTTTGGGAGCATGGATTTAGTGGGGAACACACCTTTCCATTTCAGCATTTGTAAAATAATACTGGACAAAATACTTCATGTAGGGAACACAAGTCACAGGAGCCCCAGTCCAGGGCTCACTGGGTGACTGAAACTTCTGGAAGATGAACAGCAGTGATGGAGAAAGAAAGATAACACACTACTAAAAGTGTCTCTTTCTTTGATAAAATGCCTAAATACATCAGCTATCGTCCAGTTATTAGGTTTTTAAATTGTTACTCAGAGTCCACATCAAAGATGGCCCCAGGAACTTATTTAACACTTTTTTTTCCCCTGGATTTCCAAGCAGTGATACTGGAACTGAAATTACCAGCAGAATATTACAAGTGGATGAAGCAACACAATTTCCAGAGCCTGCCAATGCTCTCAACCAGGAATTCAACAAATGCTAGATGAGAGCAGAAAGAAACCATGTGCTGCACTGCAAGTGGAATGAGAAAGATGTAAGAAAGTAGGATATGGGAGCATATGGAAGGGCACACACTTTACCTCAATACCTTAAAATACAGAATCTCATTCTTCAAGTAAGCTTGAGGAGGAAGGGAAGTTCTCCCACCACCAGCCAATGTTCAAACCCCTCCAGTTCAATTCTACTCTGAGTCAGCAGCAGCATTTTTATGCTTTTATGAGTTGCCCTCATCCACAACCAGTTATCATCACACCCCCCTGCTAGTTCAGCAGATTAACTCCAGAATGAAAACCAGAGTTGAGGGTCTCCAATGACACAAGAGGTCACAAAAAACTACACCAAACCAAGAGAAACCTCGATGCCCAGAGATTTCCTGGGGGCTTTCAAAGAAGGTGATGTGAAAATACTCAGTGAAAAAGAGGCAAACACCTCCAAGAGTTACTATTTTAAGAAAAACTTGACAGGAGAAAGAATGAAGTGATTGAAGGTGATGAGGGAAGTCACCTACCGGTGTTTGTTGTCCTCTTCCTCATCTCCTATCCTATAAAAGCAAGATTCCAACAGGAAAAGGTTAGCATGCCAAATTTTCCACTCCAAGCATGCTGTTAACACACAAAACCCACAGACTTGGAGAAAATTAAGACAGATCAAAGGAAGCACAGAAAGGCATGCATAAAATCCCTTTTGCAACCAATGGGGCTTTTTTTTTTTTTTTCCCTTCCTGCCTTCTGATAAGTGAAGCTCTAAATGTTTACCATAGATTTTTTTGTCTTCCAGGAGAAGATGAGATGTGAGGGGGCACCTGGTGTCCTACTTTGGAGAATATGTGCTTTTATAACATTTAAAGGGAAGAGAACAATGAGGGACACATTACCCACGACAATTACAAGAGGTATTGTATAAAGAGAACAAAGAAAGGGAAAAAAAAGAGAGTTTGAACTATCTCAAACTAAGAATTATAGCATTTAAAATCTTAGCAATTAGAATCAAAGGGCTCAGACACGACAACTGTTTTCTCTTTACCTGCGGAGCAATTTTGCCTTCAGCTCTGCCTTTGTCTCATTCCAGGCATCCAGTTCTGGGCTGGTCAGAGCTGTGGGTTTCATGTGGTCCAGGACAGCAATGTCTTTGCCTTGTTTCCATAAATCATATCGTTCTGGCTGCAGGACCCTCACAAACACATCCATGGAGATCTTCACCATGTCCTTGCGGCACGTGCACTGCAAGAGACCCCCCCAACACAGGACACGTCACTCTGAGGGACTTCTCTCACCTCCTCAGCCAAATTTTCCCTTTCTCCAGAGGTAAATTAACCCTCCCCAGTGCTGGCTGTAAGGCCTGCAGAGGGTTATTGGGAAGGGTCAATGTTGGGAATCACTTTGATGGCTGTTGGGTGTTCCAGCTCCATGGAAAGCATCAACTCCACCTGCTCTTGGCAAAGCAGAGGCAGCAAAGCTGCCACACTCTCCAAGGGGAGTTGAAGACTCTTTTTCCAAGCATTTTGTTCTCCCTCTAAGGCCACCAACAGGCTTTCTGGTGGCTGACACTCTGCTCATCCACTGTCCTGCAGTCATTAGACAGCAATTACTTTGTCAGATCCAGACCAGGCCAGAGTGTGACCTGGCACCCATGTCCCCTCCATTAGCCTGTCTCTGGCTGAAAAGATATTATTGATATCACTTCATAACTGGGGGAAAAAAAAGCCTTAGAGGAACAAAAGACTAACCTGGAGAACAGGGCAGTTAAACTTCATAATGACACATCATGACATGGCACATCAATCCTGGGCAAGAGCTGAGAAATAAAGCTACAACAAGTCCAACCTGCACCTAAAGCATGTGGGCAGTAGGAGAAAATGGGCATTATTCATCTCAACTGGCCTATGCTCACTAAAACTAACCTGGAACTGCACCCCTGCCATTGCACAAGCCAACATAAAGCTACTCCCAAGTGGTTTTCCTTGGATATATCCATTTGCTGTGATGAAACCCAGGGGATTCTCACCCTGGACACCAATCTCAGTGTGAATGGGCATTTAGTCTTTATAAACTTAATCAAAGGAAGGTAGAGGATGGGAAAGGACACAGGAAGCCCTCAATGCCCTCGTGGCTCTGGGGGCTGCAACCAGAGCTCTGCTTTTGTGAGCAGCTGAGCCCCTTTTTAGTCCTGCTCCAAGGTGCAAAGCTTGGCAGGGGGTGAACTTGCACCAAATTGAGTTTCAACTTTGAGGTTGAGGTAATCAGAGCCACTTTGCAGGACGGGTTTGGGGGTTTTTTCACCCTTCCTTCACACCTTTTCAAAACAATTCTACCCATTCTCTTCACAGAAATGCCTGAAATTAAACCTGTTTCTCCCTTTCTTCCTTCACTTTTCACCACCTTTATTAAAAGATTTATGGCTGTAGTTAAGAAGCCACTGAGAGGGAGAGAAAAGAGCCTTTCTGGACAGTTCTCCACTATCCCACTTCCTCCCAACTCCTGTTTTCCATTTTGCAAGGACCTCTGGCTGCTTCTGCTGCTCCGGTAACCCGAGTGGGAAGGAGTATTTATGGACAGGAATTTTCAGGAAAATTCCATTCATTTCATGAAAAATAGTGCAAGACAGAAAGGCTGGAAATGCAATTTGGCCAAAGCATGGCAGGAAAACACAGATGGCACCTGTGCTTCAAATTCCAGCCCGGGCAGGAGCTTCCCAGCGGCACCTCCATCAATCCTGGCTTAAGGGATTTGGATTGAGCAGATTTTCAGTTCATTTTTCCTTCAGAAATTTTAAAAGCACCTGTGCAGGGCTACAAAGAGGAACACAGAGGAGCAACCCCAGCACACAGCAGCAATGAGCTCTGGGGATTGACCTCCTCAGCCTCCACAGAGGATGAAAAACGGCTTAAAAGGGGAACACAGGTCCATTTTGTGACGCTGACCCGGAACCAACAGGTCCTCACACATGTCATGCCTTCAAATCCAGCCCAGCAAATCCCAAGGCACAGGGGTCTAAAGGTCTCCAGAGCAGTTTCCAACCACCAGCAGCTTAAGAGTCTCCCAAAAAGTGTACACAAGGATTAGGGAGAGCCCACCCGCCGAGCTCTCGGAGCGCTGACTCCGTGGGCTGCATCTGCCACGTCCCACCCCCCCAGAGGCCTCTGCAGTAGCTGAATTCCTTTCTTTACACAAATCTACCATGATGTATGTTTATCCTTCAATTTTGATTTAATTCTATTGCTTTCACACCAGCAGGCATGAATAATTTACAAAGCCTCTTTCCTCTGGGGCTTCTTCCGGCCCGCACGGTTTTGTTTCCTCAGCTGCTGCAGTTGTGTCATCTCCATGTTCCCATCATGGGCAGGAGATTTTTCCATCCCCTCCCCTCAGACAGCAGTGAAATGCTGCTTGATACAGCAGATGCTTCCAATACAGCTGGAAAAGGGACTGTGCATGTGGGTGTGAGGGGTGGCAGAGGGACAACGGGGGGATCAGGAGGAGACTGTGGGTAGAGAAGGGCAAGAAATTGCCTTTGCCATTAATTCCCTGCCCCAATCCATTAGAGTAGGACAAAAAGGGCAAGGTTGTGTTTCCTGGCAATGACATCCAGTTCCACATATTGCCTTCCCCCTTCCACATACACAGAGTTATATTTCTTTCCAAGTATTTAACTGTGGTCATAAACACACGTATTTCCTAACAGATTTTATGTCTCCACCCCCCATCTCTGTCTAACCCTATCCTAATTTCTGCAAAACAAATCCCTTCCATATTCCCTCAAACTCCAACACTTTTATATCCCACTATGATTAAACTTTATAGGAAAAAAAAAGAATAAAATTGAACATGTCTACACTTAAACACCATCGTTAGGGAGAGACACAAAACCTCGTTTTCTCTACGTGAGCCAAAAGCAAACCCCAAAGCCCCAGTTTGGGAATTCACAGAATTCCTACAGACCAGCAGCCCTGGGAAGGATTTCAGGGTGATTTGGATCACCCAAAGCACAGCCCTGCACGAAATGGCCACATGAAGGATCCACCTTCCATGTCCAAATGAGAAATTCAAGGAACTCTGGGATCTAATCAAGTCTCATCCCGTCTCTTCTCCAGTTGGCAGCCAGACCCCCACTCCAGGCTCCTTGGGAGCAGCAGGGCTGGCAGAGCCACAGTTCCAACAACACAGTCAACAACAGAATATTCATAGCTGGCATCTCCAAGGAGCAGCTGCAAGTCCTGAAAATGGGAGTGGAAAAAAAAATCCAAACTAAAAATCAACCCGGTTTTCGAGTTGGCTTTTTGGCTTTGGTCACAGGGGAACAAGAGCAACAAGACAAGGCTTTCCACAGTCACCAAATCTGCAGGAACTTGACTTGCTTCATCTTCTGAAGGCTTTTCCCAACCTCCCCTCTCCTTTTCCATGAGTCAATGCCTTTGCTAACCATAAGCACATGCAAAGGCAACTTGCAATCCAAGCCCATGGAAAAATACTGTAAGGAAATGCACCATTAAGCCCCTTTTCCAACCCAGAAACCCAACATTCTTCTTCTCCTTATTATTTTATTATCTGCTGCTCGAATTTGGAGCCTGTGGTAAAATGTGTGACCACACCAGGAGACCTGTCCCATCAATTCTAACTCCAAGACTGATAGTGGGAAATTTGTGGCTGTTGAATGCACAACCATTATCTTATTTGCAGTAGTCTCTACCATAAAAAACCACAAATAAAATATAAAAAACTATATAAAATAACAGTCACATAAAACTACCGTCTCCTTGAAGTAATAAAATTAAATGATATATGGAAAAATGCACTAATTCAACTTCAACCACCAGCATTATTTATTTAAGGATATTTCTCTCAATTCCCAGCTATTAACACTAAACTGAACCTCAGCACTTTCATCACATATAAGAAGTTAATGTAAAATAAGCCTTTTCCATAGTCCCCAAAATTATATATTTGAAGTGGCACCTCTGGCTCTGCTGGAAAAAAAACCTTCTTATTTAGATGAAATCAGTTGATAAGACACAGCTGAGTCTTTTTTGCCTTAATGGAAATTTAAATAGAAAGAACCCCACCAGGCTCAGAGTTGAAGTTCTTACAGCTATTAAATGCCAGAGAAAAAATCTTTGCTTAAAGCTTTTCTATCAGCCTTTCCTAACAATGAAGCCTAAAAGCAAGTTCCTGGGAAGGAGAGATGGTTCTGCTCAAAAGGCAGCTGAGAAACTCTCACTGTGTGTTACAGGAACACACATTGCTAAGGCAGACAACACTCCTAAGCTTTTCTCCATGCATTTCCAGGAAAAAACAGAGAGTTTCAGCTTTTGGGAGAAACGTAGAGTCCTCCCAGAACAATATTCTGAAGCAGGAATCCAGTTTGTCACCATATTCCAGGTGTGTTGTTGAGATCTAGTTCAGGCTCATCCAATAGGACGGAACAAACCAGTTTGGGCTCCGCTTTCCTTTTCCTTCCCCTCAGCCTGAAAGATGAATGGCAGGTATTCTGCAAGGAAATAAGGAGTTAAACTTGGAGGAGAAGAAGGAAAAACCTCAGCTGCAGAGTTTGTGTGTTTAATGGTTGGTAGTTGAAAGCTTGTGGGGAGGAAGATGAGTCTTGACCCCCCATTTGCAGCGTAATTACCGGCAGCGTCTCAACAACAAACCAGTTCATTAGGAAACCCACTGGAAACCCTTCCCAGAGCTTCATAAACAAAACAATTAGGCAAAGATTTCCATGGACTCCCCCTGGTCCCTGGCTGCAGGGCACACTTTCTCCTTGCCTGCTTCCTTAACGTGCTTCCAGGCGGATTTCTGTGGGCAGAGGAGTCGGGTAAGTGGTAAGTGGGGAGTGAGACTCATCCCACTCCTAATAAGAGGATTCTGGTTTAAGACATGATATAAATGCTGTGTGACTTGTTTCATTGCAGGCAAACAAAATAACAACCCATCCCAATGGGAATCAGGCTTCTGCTGGGAGAGGATGTGGAGATTTCTGCTTTTTCCTGTTTGCAACCTCTGCCGGAATTCTTTATGTTTTACCATTCCATTACACCTGTAAGGATGCTCCTGAATCCATCTCCAGGACACACAAGACAAACAGGGGGGCAGGGGGGAGGATCACCTCCACAGGGACCTGAGTTCTGTGTCTCTGAAGAGGCTGGGAGAGCACAGGAGGAGGTTCAGAGCTCACAGCAGCACTGCAAGAGGAGAAGTCAGTGAAGCACCAGCTCCTTCCTGCTTTGACAGACTCATCCCAGCACAAGGGATAAACAAATTAGGACTTTCATCCAGTGCTTTTGACACAGTCTATGGTTCATCTCCAAAGCCAGATGCCCCTTGGTATGGGAATGATTGGGGCTGGGACTCCTGTGAGGAAGAACCAGAGGGAATCAGCTGCAGGGAGCACATCCTTCCCAGGGGGATTTGCTGCAGGCACAGGACACACAACCCACACTGCCCAGAAATCCCAGGGAGGGACTGGGACACTGTGCCAGCCCTGCAACATCAGACTCCAGGGGTTCAGGGCAGTTTTCCATCCTGGAGATCAGCAGTTCCCATCCCAGAGATCAGCAGTTCCCATCCCGGAGATCAGCAATTCCCACTCTGGAGTTCCCATCCCAGAGATCAGCAGTTCCCATCCCAGAGATCAGCAGTTCCCATCCCAGAGATCAGCAGTTCCCATCCCAGAGAACAGCAGTTCCCATCCCAGAGAACAGCAGTTCCCATCCCAGAGATCAGCAGTTCCCATCCCAGAGAACAGGAGTCCCCCTGGGCTGGAAAAGCCATGACTAAGCAGCACTAAAAACAGAGCATCCTTTACACCTTGCAGTAATTAAGCTCAGGTAAATTAGGCTGAGGAGAATTTAAACCTGACCTAGTCTGGTTAAAATAATCTGTTGAAACCCCCCAGTTCAGTGCTCAGGGTTAGGCCAAGCTCTGAGCAGGAGGGAGTTGAGGTGCCTGAAGCCACCACTGTCCCCATCCCTGTCCCATTCCCTGTGAACAACGTCCTGAACAGTTTATAATATATAATATAAAATATATAACAACAGTATGTAAGTCTGGATTTAAACCCAGTCTCTCACATGCCCTTTGTCAAGGGCAGGACATCCAGAAGGGCCAGGTACCTGCTGACACTCATCCATCTGCTCCAGCAGCATCCCAAGGACTGGAGTCCTGGAAACCTCCAGGTATTTATTCTGCTGACAGAACTCTCAGTGTTCTCCCCTCATTAACAGAAATCATGAGCAGAACGTCCCAGTCAGTCCTTCAGAAGAGGAGCTCAGAGAACAACTCATAACACAAAGCTTCAAGACAGTCCCTAAAAAAAAAATAACCATCTCCTTTCCACCTCAGCAGGAAAAAGCCTGTAAAAATTCCTTTTTATTGCACAGAATCAGTGCTTTGCCCAGAGTGAGGTATTAGGGGTGTTTACAAATAATACAAGAAAATAAGTAGGAAAAAAGGTGGAAGATTTTGTACAAGAGTAACTTTGAATCCATCTGACAAAAATAAACCACGGAAATGTTATTCCATAATAGATTTTTTTTTTAATGTATTCTAAGCTTAAAAGGTCTAATTAGAGTAAAAGAGCAATTCTGAATGTCTGACAAAAATAAACTATGGAAATGCTATTTCATAATAGATTTTTTTTATGTGTTCTAAGCTCAAAAAGGTCTAATTAGAGTCAGTTAAGGCACAGACACAAAGTGATGCAAAAATACAATTCTGATGTCTCTTATTTTGGGGAGCAATTTTACAGTATTACCAAACAGTTTCTGCAAAAAAAACACCTCACAAATTTTATTTTCTTGGGAAATATTGGTGTTTTACTAAGATCTGAATAGTAAGAAGAAAGCTTCAATTCAGACAACTTGAAATCACTGATATTCCACATATAAATTTGAGATTATTTCAATAGTATAAATATATATATATATTAAAGCAAGGGAGGAGAAGGTTTAGAAGCAATAAGCCACGTAAAATAGCACAGGCTGAGATCCAAAAGGTCCCTGTTTTGAAGATGCCTTTGTAGATCAGGAAAATCCAAATGGAAAAGTCTTGTTTTCCCCTTCCCTAAATGACTGAGCAGCAGAGTAGGGAGGGTTTTATGGGAATACTGCCTGGGATGAGATAAAGGCTACTTATTTCAGAACCTAAAATGTAAGATTTGGGAAGGAAGGGCAACTTGACCCTATTTTATATCAAATAGATAATTCCAGCAGTATCCCTGGAGGTAAATGAAGGTATGGAAGTGTTGACAGGAACCCAGAAATTATCCAGGAATGTCTGTGCAGGAATTATTCCCCTCCCATCCACTTATTTCCAGTCCAGTTTCCAAAAGAAATTGAAAAGCTGACCTGGGAACTTGAATTTCTGCTCAAATTGTACCAAAATTATATAAAAAGAAAGGAGCTTTTTGTACAGCAGATTTAGAGGCCACCTCGACTTGGGGAAGGACATTTCACTGAACCCCTTGGGTTTAAAAGGGTTGTAAGGTCAAAGACACAGCTTCCAAAATCCTCTGTGGTGGCATCCAAGGGCCTTCAGAAACAAAAAAGCAGGAATGCAGAAAGGAATGCAGGTTCAGGGTGCAAAAATAAAAAGAAATAATTAGTTCCCCAGAAACTCTGCAGCCATTGTTATTTTTTAGCTAATACTGACAATTGTTCTACAACTGGAGCAGAACCAGCACCTCAGAAGCTGATCTTTCCACTTCAGGCTGGTTATTCTGTATTTTTTACAGCCTGGGCAGGTTCTCTGTGCTCAGAACATTCCACTCATCTGGCAGGGAATTAGCACAGTTTCTCCAAGGTGAGCCATTCCCTCCCTCTCTCTCACCACCCCACTGACGTGCATCGCCCTCAGTAGAGCAGAATCCAAATTTCCTCCCCAGGATGATGTCCAGGAGAACAGTAAAAGTGGCTAATTATGAACCTTGCCTTGTCACCAATCTCAGAAGTGCTGGCAGGACAAGAGAGCCCAGCTGATCACCCAAGGAATGGAGGGAATCACCTCCAGCCAGCTGGTTTAGTGCAGGAACAGCAGGTTCCTGCAGAGCTTTGCCCAGCTGAGACTCCCCAAGAACTTGATCAGGGGGTGTATGACCAGGAAAAAACCAAACCTGCTGGATGTGGGCAAGGATAATCTAATTGTGCCTGAGAGCACAGAAATCACACACTGGAGGGTCACAGAATCCCAGAATGCTTTGGCTTGCAAGGGACCTTAAAGGGACATTACACTTGTAATATCTCCTTCACTTCTTTTTCTTCTATCAACTCAGCTTGAGTCTGTAACTTTTGTAATGCAGCCTAATGCTTTCTTGTTCTCCTAAAATAAGCAGATTTTATTGTTTTATTGGGCCCTTAAAGCCCATCCAGTCCCACCCCCTGCCATGGGCAGGGACACCTTCCACCAACCCAGGTTGCTCCAAGCCCTGTCCAACCCGGCCTGGGACCCTTCCACAACTCCTCTGGAATCTGTTCCAGGGCCTCACCACCCTCCCAGGGAAGAACTTCTCCCCACGAATTCTCTCCCCACAAACACCAGGCAGCTCCAGTTTCCACCCTCAGCTGGTATTTCCTTAAGCCCCTGTTTAACTCCAAATGAGATTTAAACAAACCTTTTGCCCTCAGGGTGTGCCAACACTCACCCCTCACCTGGAGCACAACACCCAGCCACCCAAGGGTTAATTAACACGTGATTTGAGCAATATTAACCAGCAAGCTCAGAACAGACAAGTGGCACTGAGTGCAGGGGGAATAAATTGGGCATCTCCTTCCACATTCCCCTTCCTCTGCCCAGCTTTGCTCGGAGCTCTCGCTGCTGCTTGTTCAGTAATTTCACGCTCCGCTGCTCGACAATGTGAGCACGGAGGCTCCATCTAAAACTGCACTTCCCAAATGTCACTTTGTTTGGGAACACATGGCTGAACCCAAAATTGCTTTTAATATTTGAGCTGGAGCTGCTGTAGTGAAGGGGCTGCCCGAATTTCCCTGATAAAACTCCAGTTTCTGGGGTGTAATACCAGGACCGTTCGCTGCAGATAAACCTGCCAGACAAGGTCACAGCACACAAAAACCATTCTTTACATTTCTAAACCAAGTTTGCTTGGCTGTTTTTTAAGGTTTTTTCTTATGGTTTAAGGTTTTTCTTACCCTTCCTTTAACTCCAGAACAAATTCAAATGGAAGACCCATCCCTGGAAGGGTCCAAGGCCAGGCTGGACAGGGCTTGGAACAACTTGGACTAGTGGAAGGTGTCCCTGCCCATGGCAGGGGGTGGGACTGGATGGGCTTTAAGGACCCAATGAAATAATAAAATCTGCTTATTTTAGGAGAACAGGAAAGCATTAGGCTGCATTACAAAAGTTACAGACTCAAGCTGAGTTGATGGAAGAAAAAGAAGTGAAGGAGAGATATTACAAGTGCCATTCTAGGGGGAAAACTGAGTCTTTCTGCAAAGGAACATTTAAGGCAATTTTCAAGTGCCACCCCTTCTGCATTCATTTCTCTTTTGCCCTGTGTGGAACTGATCCCTAATTTAAAAATTCACAGATTCACTGAATGAGCTTTGCTGATCAGTTATTCTCCAGACTCCAAAATGCAGACTCTAGGAAAATGTACGAGGTGTGCTGTTGCAAAACCAAAGTAACAAAACATAACAGAAATTTGCCCTAATGAGAAATAACCACATATTTCAGCCTGACTCTCCTCTCCAAATGCAACTTGAGTGCACAGATTAGAGGAATTCAGGTATTTTCAGAATGTTATTACCATAGTCTTATTAAAGCTTAAAAGTATTTCCAGCTTATTCCTTCCCCTCCAGTGTGCACCTAATGAGTTGTACTCGGTTACATCAGTCACCCCACTCACTGTGAAATGCAGTTTGGCTGCATCAGAAAACTAATTCTGAATTACCAACCTGCAAAGCACCTGTTCACAAGGTGTTTGTAAGACCCAGCAGCTGAGAAAGTCCTCACTACACCCTCAGAATGACAGGAACCACCAACAGGAATAAAACAGCCCCAGGGGACGGTGACAGAGCACATCACAGTGGCACTTCCCATCTTGTCCTGAAGTCTCCCTCTCTCATTCCTCTGTATTTCATGAGCTGGGGGTTTTAAATAACACTTCATCCCAACTGACACCTACTTGGGTTGCCATTTTTCCATAGTCAATCCATCTCAAAGTGGCAAAGTTGGTGGACTCGGCACAGTTGAAGCCGTGGTTGAAGCCGGCGTGGTATCCATAAGGGAATGTGATCATGAACTCTCCAGCTTCCTGGGTGATCTGGAAAACAAAGGCAAAAGGAGGAGACACCCCACAGGTCAGTTCATGTACAGAACAGAGACCTATTAAAATATCCACCAGTTAAATCTCTTCCTTTCAATCCAGAGGTCAGTGGGACAGTCACTGCCAGCTCCCGGTTAAACCTGGAATAATTCCTGGACAACTGCAAAAATACTGAAGGATTTCTCCTAAGGAAAAAACCCAGAACAGTGGATGGAAAGGGCACAAGCTCTGAACTATTTACACCCACAGGTTCTAGTTCAAAGGCTCTCAGGCTGCAGCATTCCAAGAGATCAATAAATCCTCAGACTGTGACCTCTTTGGCTCATGGCAGGTCCAAACCCACACTCCCACCACCAGGCCAGAGGAGCCAAGAACTCTGGATTTCCCTCCTCTAAACAGCAGGGTCCTACTGAAGCACCTCCTGCCTTTCCCTGGATTTATTCCCCCACTCACATTTATCAGCCTCACTCCCATTTGTTCACCCAAAAGTCAAACACCTTAAAAATTACAGCCCATCATTTGTCTGCTTTGGAAGTTGTCCAGAGAAGCTGTGGCTGCTCCATCCCTGGAAGTCTCCAAGGCCAGGCTGGAGCAACCTGGGATGGTGGAAGGTGTCCCTGCCCATGGCAGGGGTGGAACTAAATGGTCTGTAAGGTCCCTTCCAACCCAAACCATTCTGTGATTCTGCTTTATTAAAATTAAACAACAATAAGCATTATGGCCACCATTAAAAAGGGTTAAACTCTACAGCTGGAACCAGAGGCCAAATAAATTAGTGATGCTTCTAAAAAAAAATCCTCTTTTTACATCTTATGCAGAGAAGCCATTGGGGAAACAAGGAATTTAACTGTAAAAGAGTTTGGAATGACTCCTGAGGGCAAACTGGATGTACCAGAGTGGGCTGGGAGCAGCTCCCCAGCTCAGCAGGTGTGTGACAGCACCTCCCTTCCATGGATTAGCAAAGAGGCAAAGCTGGACCTTCCCTGCCTTTCCAAGCCAGAAGTGCTGACAGACCTTTCCCAGCAGCCACATGCCAGGCAATTCCATTGGGATCCCTTCCCACCAGCCATAACTCCCAGCCCAGAGCCTGGAGATTCCAGAGGACTTGCACTTCCAAACACAAGGATGGGCCCAAGTGGGAAATGGAAACAGAGGGAAGTTCAAACACTTTTCACTTGGCTGGGCCAACATCTGAATTTGCTGATGTCATTAACATTCATAGAATAATTAAAAAATAGGTACTAAAATCTGCTGTGATAACACAAGAAGCTCCTGCAGGATTTCTGGAGGAGTTGCTCAAGTCCAGCCTTCACCCAGAGCATCCCCCCATCCATCCCCTCCATAAATCCCAGCAGAGCTCCAACTGTAACTCCAAAAGACACAAAGATTATGTTTCTGTCAGTAAATCTCCATCCTGGTGTCTTCATTTCGAGCCCACAGTGTGTGTCAGCCCTGGCACTGCTGTCAACATTAGCCCACAATAAATTAGAAAGCCCTCAAGATGATGGATAGGCCATGCAGAAAAGTAATAACTAGTGAAGGAGAGCCAGCACAAACTGCCACTCATGGAGAAAGCCTCAAATTTACTGACTCCTGCAAGCTCTTGAGGAATAAATGGAGAAATCAATAGGAGATTACAGAAATACACATTTTTAATTATTAAAAAGCCCTCGCATTGATCTGGTTCTTTTTTTTTTTCCAGAACACCATTCTAGAGATTTATAAATGCTGCCTATTCACTTCATTGAAATCTGCCAGGAATTCAGATGGAGGGTTCCTATCTCTATTCCCAGAGAAAAAAATGGCACTTGTTCCCTGTTTGTGAATAACAGTGATCCTCCTCCAAAAGCTCCTATTTCAGGACAGGAGGCTTCAGACACAGGTTGCTCAAACTGAAGAGATCTCCACCTTTTTACACCTAAAAACAGCTTTCCAGGGCAGTAATTATCATAAAAACACATTATAAATCAGGATTAGGAGTTATATTTAAGTAAGATGCTATAATAATTATATTTAATATATTTAAATGACATGCTATAATAATTTTATGTAAGTATATTTAAGGAACATGGTATAATAATTATATTTAAGTAACTTGTTTTAAAAAAGGAAGTTTGGTGCTGACATTAATATTGTCCTCTGTGTACACTGGTAAAAAATAGCATTAAGACAACTACTTACGCCCAGCATGAAGGAGACACCAGCCATCAATCTGCAAACATCCTTCATGTCACAAATCACAAGATTCAGAGAGGGACACCTCACTCAGCAGGTGAAGACTTTTTACCAAGCAATAAATTGGCAACTCCCTTATTTAAACCACTTTGAAGCCCATCCCTATCAAATACAGCTCAGCAAAGATGACTTGGAATAAGTTTGGAAGGAAAGTTTTTCCTTCTATTGCCTTTTTTTACAAACTCCTTTGCTGCCCCTGCTTGGTTATTGATCAGAAATCACTTAGTGATTATATTTATATATAAATATAAAATTACTAGTCAGTGCTACTTTCCTCAGACAGATGGAAAAACAAACATAAAATAATGTTTATTCTGGAGGAGAATCTGCCCACCTACAGCACACATAGATTTTAGTCCTGCAAGAACTTCCTTCCCTTTCCAACCTCTGGCACAGCCAAGATCCTCAAATTAGATATTTTCATTAATCTTTTCAACTCTGTGGAGCAGGTACCTGTATTTTCCCACTTGGGAATCAGGTTCCACTGAATGGAATTACAGGGAAAAAATGGTTTGTTGTTCTCTATGAACAATTTAGTATCAACTAACTAGGCCAAGTCCAGGCAGTGATGTTGAACCAGAAGCACCACATTGGTCCATGGAAGCTCATCTGATGAGCCAGATGATCCCATTTCAAATTTCATTTATCATAACCCCTCCCAGGAAAAATCAAACAGTCCCTGGAGCAGTGAATTGAATGAATTCATAGGTTTTTATGCTATAGAAGAGCCAAGATCTTTTACTTCCATCTCAAAGAATCAGCAGGCTCAGCAAAGAGGTCTCAGGTGGATTAACTCTGATTAAACTATGCCTAAAAAATATAATTAACAGAATGTGAGAGTTCTTGGAAAAATATGGTCATATAGAGGTGATGATGCAAAAGGGATGGGGAAGGGTAGAGAGGGACTTTGGACAAGAGATGGAGGGACAGGACAGGGAGTGGCTTCAAAGTGAAAGAAGGGAAATTTAGATGGGATATTGGGAAGGAATTCCTCCCTGGGAGGGTGGGGAGGGACTGGGATGGAATTCCCAGAGAAGCTGTGGCTGCCCCAGCCCTGGAAGTGTCCAAGGCCAGGTTGGAGAAGAGAAGGCTCCAGGGAGACCTGAGAGCCCCTTCCAGGGCCTGAAGGGACTCCAGGAGAGCTGGAGAGGGATTTGGGATGAGGGATGGAGGGACAGGACACAGGGAATGGCTTCAAAGTGAAAGAGGGGAAATTTAAATGGGATATTGGGAAGGAATTCCCCTGAGAGGGTGGGGAGGGGCTGGCACAGGATGCCCAGAGAAGCTGTGGCTGCTCCATCCCTGGAAGTGTCCAAGGCCAGGTTGGAGCACCCTGGGCTAGTGGGAGGTGTTCCTGCCCATGGCAGGGGGTGGAACTGGATGGGCTTTAGGATCCTTCCAACCCAAACCACTGTGGGATTCTGTGAGATCAGTTTGGCCCAGGAATTCTTTGACACTTCCCACATCCCAAGGCAGGCCGGGCTCCGTGTGCCGGGAACACACAGCAGAGGTTTGACTGATCCTGCCCAGATACAAATCCCTGTAAGCCTGGCTGAGGAGATTTACTTCAGAAGACTTTAAGAATAAGCACATTAAAACGATCATACCAAACAAACATGACCCCTCAGCTGAAAAAAGAAGGTTTAAGAGACTCAGGGATCCTTCCAGGCTTAGAGCACTTACACAACAGGGAACCAGCACGTCCAGTTTGGGCTCCTGCTGCATCCACAAGGAAAAAAATAAGTGTTCCTGACTCACCAAAGAGCTTTGCTGCCTCGAGCACAAGTGCTATGAGGAGAAGCTGAGGGAGCTGGGGCTGTTCAGCCTGGAGAAGAGGAGGCTCAGGGGAGACCTCCTCACTCTCTGCAACTCCCTGCCAGGAGGGGGGAGCCAGGGGGGGTTGGTCTCTTTTCCCAGGCAACCATCAGCAAGACAAGAGGGCTGGGTCTGAAGCTGTGCCAGGGGAGGTTTAGGTTGGATATTAGAAAGAATTTCTTTGCAGAGAGGGTGCTCAGCCATTGGAATGGGCTGCCCAGGGAAGGGGTGGATTCTCCATCCCTGGAGGTGTTTAAGGACAGACTGGATGTGGCATCAGTGCCATGGGCTGGGAACCACAGCGGGGTTGGATCAAGGCTTGGATTGATGATCTCGGAGGTCCCTTCCAACCCAGCTGATTCTATGATTCTATGATTGATAAGCCAGAACATCTGGATTAGCCTGTCTCTCCCTACCTGAGAGGCTCCTGAATTGCCAGAGTTTGTTCAGTGGAAGCTTTTTTTTCACTTCACGGTGTCTCAGCCAAAAACCCAAATGCTCCTTTCCTGGTTTGAACCAATGGGATACATTCAGCATAACAATGCACTTAGAAATTAAACCAATCTCTCCCCAGGGAATTTTTCCCTCAAAAGAGAGGTGCTGTGCCCTCTGCACCCCAGCACCCTGCCAGTGTGTTCCCTGCATCCCTGGACGTACCCGGTCGAAGGGAATCCCGTATTTCTTCAGGATGGAGGGAGAAATGAGGGTCATCTTGTGACGGAGGAAAGCATCACATCCCTGAGAGCTTCCTGGGAAAAATCCTGTGGAGACATTCAAAGGAGGAATATCACTACAGGGGTGTCACATCCAATGGATTTGTTAAGCAGAGACAAGCTGATAAATGAAAATCTGCCTTATTCATGCAGATGAAACAAAAGCAGACAAGCAGGATGGCAGGAATTAGCATGTTTTTTAAAATATTGCATAAATTTTGTGACAAAAACTTGCACATGGAGACACCTAAATCATAGAAACATGGAATATCCTGAGTTGGAAGGGACCCAAGAGGATTGAGTTCAACTCCTGGCCCTGCACAGGACACCTCAAGAATCTCCCCCTGTCCCTGAGAGTGTTGACCCAAGTCTGAATTCCCTTCAAAATGAGAGTTTGCATCTAAGTCTTCTCTGTCTAAGTATCTTGGCCAAAATATCAGTAAACCCCTGAAAATTAAGAAATATAACCTATCTCTCTTAGATTTTGGCTGGTACCCCAAACCCTGACCCCCTTTTTTCTGAATACAGACAAGGAAAAAGCCCCAGCCTGCACCATCTACTCCAAGCACTCCCACACCCTTTTTATACCTCTCCTGATGGGCTGCTGGAATATTCTTGGGAAAGTTATACAGTTTGTTAGATTCCAGAGCAATATGCCCTACAGACCACTCCCTGAAGGGAAAAATCAGCATGTAAATGTTAATATTCAGGGAAAATAAAGGAAGTAAAACATCTCCCTCCCAGGCAGTGGCAGGAGGGACACGGTCAGTGGTCACTAAGAAGTGGCAGAGACAGCAGGACCTGACCCAGTCAGAACCTCAGCACCACCAAAGCCCACCTCAGTTACAGGATCCACAACCCCAAATAATTAAGAACACTAAAAATGGTGGTAAAAACTGAATAAACTCCTCGATGCCAACAAATGGAACCCCATTTCCTTCAAGATCACGTTTTTTCCCCTCCGAGTGGGTGACTCAGTGACAAGTTGTGTGTTTACAGGGATTCAAACTCATCCCCCTTTAGGAAAATAAATAAGCCAAGCTCTGGAAACAAAAGTCATTGATGAGACATAATGGAAAGGGTTTCGGAAAGAGAAAAGGATTACTGGATTCCAGGTTTTCTTAACATTTTTTGTACTAAAAGCATTTCAATTAAAATTATGACTGTCTGCTACCCAGCCTGTCCTTCCTCTCTGCAGTCCCTCTTTTTAATGCACAGTTTAAGTGGCTCTCATTAAAGCCACTAATAAAGAAGCCCATTTTAAGTGATTAGCACCAATAACATGGCAACACATTAACATGCTCTCCCTGGGCTCCACAGCTCTCCCAGGGAGCCCATTTCCAGCTCAGCTATTCATTTTCCATATTAATTGCACCCTCGTTTCTCCAGAGTAAACTTGTCCCTGGAACAGCCCATGGATGTGGAGGACAGAGGGAATGGCCAGGGAGCAGAAGTGCCTCCCTGGAGCTGTAAAACATCCCCCCTCCCACCTTCCAACAGGCCAGAAAACCAAAATAAAGACCAGGTCACTGATAATTTCCCTCTGGTTTTACGTCACAAACCGTCCAAAAATCGATCATATGTAAAAATTAGTTACAAACAGCAAGAAACTTAATTATTAGTTCTGTCAGAGCTGGGGGGGATTTCAGAGCCTGCAGAACACAAGTCCTCTGGATTGACTGACTTCCTAGAAAAATCACTTTTTATCTGTTAAAACCTGGCAAATGACTGAAGTGCAGCTTTGAAATGCACCATTTCTCAGCAGACAGTTCTAATATTATTTGGTTTTAGGGATCAAAGAGCTCAGTGCACAGGAACACAACACTGCCCTGCCCTAGGAAATTCATGCCCAGTTGTTCTACATTTATCCCACACAATCAGTCGAACCCCTTGGCACTCTCTCCTTTTAAAATTATTTTTAAAATTCTATTACTTTATTCTATTATTTTATTCTTTTTATGTTATTATTATATTTATTACTTTTATTCTATTATTTTATTCTTTTTATTTTATTTTTATATTTATTCTTTTTATTTGATTATTTTTATTCTTTGTATTCTATTTTATTATATTTATTCTTTTATTCTATTATTTTATTCTATTTATTTTATTTTATAATTACATTTATTCTTTTTATTCTCTTATTTTATTCTTTTTATTCCATTTTTATATTAATTCTTTTATTTGATTATTTTTACTCTTTGTATTTCCATTTATTATATTAATTCTTTTTATTTTGATTATTTTATCATATATTTATTTTATTTATTACTATTTCGTTTTTCTTATTCTCTTATTTTTATTCTTTTTTATTCGATTTTTTATATTTATTCTTTTTATTCGCATTATTTTTACTCTTTTTATTCATATTTTTATTCTATTTATTATTTTTATTCTATTTTTATGCTATTATTTTATTATTTTATGCTATTTTATTATATTAATTATTTTTATTCTTATATTTTTAATTTTTATTCTTCTATTTTTAATTTTTATTTATTATTATTCAAATTATTTTATTTATTTATTTATTTTTATTTATTATTTTATTAAATAAAATTTTAATTTCATTTTAAATTTTATATTATTTATAATAATTTCTTATTATTTTTACATTTTATTTATTTATTTAAAATTATTTAATTTATTATTTATTTAATATTTTTAATTTTTATTTAATTTATTTATTAATTATTTCGATTTTATTCAATCAAATGTCAGACTGTCAGCAGGAAATGGCATTACACTGAATTTGCTTATTTGCTGGAAAATCAGTCTCAGAACGTCTTTTCTTTTGAATCCAAACAGGGCCCTCCAGATTTTCCTGCCTGCTTTTCACTCCCCCCCAGGTTCAAACCATCCCCCTTGGCCTGGCTGGAGATGAACCCCGGAGGTTTGGAGTTAATTATTCTGGGTCAGGAGCTGTTTTTAGCTGGGCAGCTCCAGGAACATTTGCAAGTGACCAAAAATAGCAACAACATCAATTAAAAAATTAAAAAATAGAGATTTCTGCAGCCAGACATCTCCCCTGAAGCTTGAGAGGTGGGAGTTCACCACAGCCCAAACTAACTCTGACCTTCCCCTCCCCTGCATTTCCCTTTCTTTTTTTTTTCTCCTTTCATTGTTTGTTGTTTTTTTTTAATTTGGTCTTTATTGCACCGAAAATAAAGGAGGATTAGGCTAAAATAGAAGGAAAATGAGCAAATACACAACAGTAGAGGGTGAAGGAGTAACAGGCACAAACTGAAAGAGGGGAAATTTAGGTGGGATATTAGGAAAGTTTTTCTTGTGAGGGTGGTGGGGCCCTGGCACAGGTTGCCCAGGGAAACTGTGGATGTCCCTTCCCTGGAAGTGTCCAAGGCCTTGGAGAAACCTGGGCTGGTGGGAGGTGTCCCTGCCCATGGCAGGGGGTGGAATGAGATGGGCTTTAAGGTCCCTTCCAACCCCTTAACACTCCGTGGTGTGATGATAAAGCTGCTGCTGAATTTCTGAGCACTTCCCTAGTTTAGGGTGAAAATAATTAATAATAATAAAGTTGCCCAGACTGCAGATGTAACATTTGGAGTGTCAGAAGAAACAGTTCCTGCCCCCCTTGTCCCTGCAGAACCAGGAGAGCCCCGGGCTGCACTTCACACCTCTGGAACAACACAAGTGGGGACAAATCCCCATTGTCCATGAAGGTGAAGGTTTAGGTGGGATATTGGGAAGGAATTCCTGGCTGGGAGNAGGTGAAGGTTTAGGTGGGATATTGGGAAGGAATTCCTGGCTGGGAGGGTGGGGAGGCCCTGGCACAGGTTGCCCAGAGCAGCTGTGGCCCCCCCATCCCTGGAAGTGTCCAAGGGTTGGACGAGGCTTGGAGCAACCTGGGATAGTTGAAGGTGTTCCTGGGATGGAGCTGGATGAGTTTTAAGATTCCTCCCAACCCAAACCACTCTGGAATTCTGTGATTAAACCCACTGCCCAGCCATGGAAGGGTTTGGTCTCAATGCCTCAAAACTTAAGGCTTTTCCAAGCAATTTTAGTCGGGGTCATGGTGTGCCACAAACAGAGACTTGGAGGAAAGGAAAAGCCCCTGCCAAGTTTTTTGGCTCCACCAAGGCAGCAGGTTCCTCCAGCAGCTCTTGGTAAGAGGAAATTCTAACAGTCAGTTCAGTGCCAGTTCTTTGTCAATCCCTTGAGAACCCCAAGCTCACCTTTTGCCAGGCGTTCCAGCCTCTTGCCGTGTTCCGGAGGGATGGCATACCTGGGAGAGATTAACAGGGAATTAAACACCAAAACCAGCAGTCTGCAATGTAAAAACCAGCTAAAGAAAAAGTCCAGGAATGAGTGGGGGAATAACCATCAGCACAGCACACCTTGCCTGGAAATAAACCCAAATTTTATACCCCTGAAAGGCACCAGGAACACACAATGCATGGGAGAAACCCTGGATTTTAATAAAACTCCTTAGAGGTGTGTTATTTTCTAAAAGAGCATCACAAGATTTCACAAGGTAGAAGGAAAATTGAGGAGACAAAGTGATGATCCAGCACTGGAAAACCAGAAATAAATCAGTGCAGGGAACAGCAGGTGTGTTTTCCATTGGAAACAGATCTGCAAAAATAAAATTGTGCTGAAGATTAACAAGCAACAAATGTTGGATGGGCTGAAAAAGGTGTGAAGGAGGGTCTGCGTGCTTTGGAATACAACTATTTTCTGTGCAAATAGTTTTCATTTTGTTCCAAAAAGTAAATATTCTTCCCCATGGCTGAAGCAGTTACGGCTCAATCCTTATGTCTGTGCTGCATTTTATTGGTTGATGGGAATAATGGAATTAAATCATTCAATAATTTCTCAATGAGGTGAATGAAAATGAAGGGCCTGCTGAGGAAAAACAACTTTAAAGGGTACAAAGAACAAACTTCTACACTTCTTAAAGTTTTGTAAGATTAGGGGTAAAAAGGGTGCAAAAGGATTTGGCTGAAATTTTTTTTGGAGTGCAAATTATTGAACACAAAACTGGAAAAACAATTAAGTGCCTGAAGTCCCAGAGGTCACAGCCAAAGAGCTGTGTGTGACCATCGTGTCCAAAAAGCACTTTCCTTTCTCTTCCAAAAGCTTTCAGTTCCCTCAGTGCTTTGAATATTCACAGGAGCAAAAAAATCAGGTGACTGAGATTTATGTGTTCAGGTTCTAAGGAGGGAAGGAAATACCCTGAGAAATGATAAATACTTGAGTGTGTCTAACATGATGCCACACATAATCTTGCCAGTGGAAATTTGTAAATCATTGGTTACACAGTGTAGAGAGTGAAACGTGGCTCTCCCTGCTTTTGGTGCTGGAGAATTCTGAGAATTTACATTTGGGAGAATGGCATTTACTGCCAGCAATAAGTTCTCTTCAAAGAGAACAATAAAAAATGCATTATTTTTGCTATTTCCAATAAAGATGTCAAAGCCATCAGGCCTCATTACAACAAGCTGCAAACAGGATATTGCAGGGGGGAATTTGCACCATCTCAGCAGCAGGTGCACACATTGCTCTGCTTAGGACAGAGCTCAAAATACACCTGAGTTGAGAGGAATTTCAGCCAACTCCTCGATTTTCAAGTCTAAAACTCAAGTCTGCAACATAAGGAAGAGCAGATAAAAGCCATCTCTCCTGTATTACAAAATCAAAATGCACCTGCTGTGGCCTGGCAGGTTGGGAGGATAACACAGGACAGAAATCAAACACAGGGGGCTTCAAGATTTAGACATTAAGCTGATTTCAACTGATGGCTTAAAACAAAAATTTCAGGCAAAACACTGTGTAGCCCCTAATCTTGTAAAATAATAAATCCAGCAATGGACTCCCAACATCCCCTGACCAAAGTTTGACAGTGCCTTAAATTGCATAATTATCAAAACAATTCAATTCCATTTGTGTGGGACAAAGCTGGTGGTTTTTATTTTACAAAGACCATTCATCACTTACATAAATGTGATAAAACTAATCCCGATCCAAAGCTCCTTTGTGGGATTAATGTCCCTTAAAACAGGGAAATGAGACATTCCATTCCTTCTGGGAAAAATGCTGAAGGATTGGGAAAGAACTAATTTATGGCTACAAGGCTGCTGATGATTAATGTAATATCCCCAGTCTACAATGCAACCTTCACTTAATTAGTGCCTGTAATTGGGAGTTGTAAAGATAAGATTAATTGAATCTTGAGGATGTTAAAAGTTTAATACATTGGAACATGGTTATTGTGTTATCTGAAACTGCAGCCTGCAAAAAGCCAAGCCAGGCTTTAGAGAGCAGCCCGTGGAGAGACAAAGAAAAAGGACTTGCCTGGATAGAAACCAGCCAGAGAGGAGGAATTTCCAGCTTATAAAAGAGAACTATATGTAATAATAGAGAAATGAAAACAGCCCAGCACAGAGTGGTAAGAGCTGACCCCCATTTTAGAAACTCCCTTTTCTGTTTGGGCCGGGCTTTAGGAAGCTGAGCCCACCACACATCCCCCCCTCTGCACTTCTTTTAGAGGATTCACAAAATTAACAGCAGGAGAGGATTCAAAGTAGGTCAAATTGTGCTTTGAGTTCTGCTCACAGATCTGAGTGATTTACACAGAGACAGGCAATAAAGGCAGAATTTGGGCTGCTGTTTGGAGCCAGCAAGAGGAACAGAAGGCTGGGAACGTGTGGCACAGATTGAGCTCCATCTACACATCAGCTGATGGACTGGGAGGCAGGACAACAATTCAAACACTCAGAATTGCTGCAGTCAAAGGAGTTGCTGCAGTTTTGGAGCAATAAATAAAATTTTTTGGGTGTCCTCCTGCTTCCAGTGGGAAAAACATCCAGCACGTGGCGGGGACAAAAGTCCTGGTGTGGCTCAGCCCCCACAGCTGGGGCTCAGCTCAACTGCAAAGCTTTAATTCCAGGGACAACCCCCAGGCAAAAGCACAGCCAAGAATTTCCTTTTCTAGATGCACAGCTTTGAATGCTTTAACAATTTTTTTTTTTTGGTGGTTATTTTTCTTTAAATCTCCTGGCTAAAATATTAAATGTATTTTCTCTGGGAAAATACAAAAAAAAATCCTCTGCCCTATGAAAACCTTGAAAAAGAAAACTAAAAAATTAAGACACGTGTAAAACTCCTCCCCTCCTCTGTCCCATTCAGATCACAGACAAATGCTTTCCACAAAGACAAGGGCAGAGAAGGAAAAAAAGACTTCAAAACAAGCAAAATACCACTTTTATATCAATTGGCCAAACCAGACTCAGTCTCCATGGATTGGGATGTGTCAGGACTGTTGGACTGAGAACTGCCTGAGGCTTCAACCCCTTGGCAGGGGCAGTTTTGGGTTAGGGTTGGAGCAGGTGTGGAGCAGGACTCACCTGGATGGAGAAAGGATTTTCCACTGCCCCAAACAACCTCAAGTAAAAAGAAGTGATGGTGGCAGCATAAATATTTGAACAGCCTTTCTTAAGAACCATCTTTTTATAGACTATTTCTGCTGCAGAGGAAAACCCTGCAAGAGCCACCAGAGAACCCAACAGTGCTGGAAACACTGACCTTGAGCCAGGGCAGAATTTGTCCCCTCCTGGTTCAACCTGGTCCCCCCAGAAAAGCCAAGTTCATGTTGATAGTGCTAAAGCAGCAGCTGTCTGAGGGTAGATCAAAATTCCAAGGAACTGAGCTTGCAAACAAACCAAGGGACTAATTCCAAGGGTCAGCCTTGCAGTGGTTGACCAAGACAAAAGGCCAAGCTTCCCCCAAAAACCTGCCACTCAGCAATTTGTGGGATTGCAGCGTGAATGATGTGCTGCTGCTCTGCCAGGGAACAGGAGATTTACAGGGTGGGGAAAGAAAAAACCAGCTCAGGATAAAAAAAAAGTTACAGTTACACGACTCAAATGTCACCTCACCCCAAAGTCAACAATCTGAACGTGATATCCTGAGCCTTTCCAATCACCTTTTTCTACTTCCTACCAAAGCAACACAAAGTCCCTGAAGGGGATCAAGTATCACTTGTACTCAAACAGAACTTACTGTTCTACATGAAACACTCTCAGCTTCCAAACTTGTGTCCTGAAACATTAATTCCAGCATTTCTGCTCTCTACCTTCACGTGATTCTCTGATTTCCTGAGTCGGGGTCACAAGTTCAGAAGGTTTTGCCCCAAAGCTACAAATGTGTGAGAAAATTATCTCCTTATAATGGTAGTTTGCTTTTGTTAATATGGAATTATGGAATGGTTTGGGTTGGAATGACCTTAAAGCCCATCCAGTCCCACCCCCTGCCATGGGCAGGGACACCTTCCACTATCCCAGGTTGCTCCAACCTGGCCTTGGACACTTCCAGGGATGGGGCAGCCACAGCTTCTCTGGGCAACCTGTGCCAGGGCCTCCCACCCTCCCAGGGAAGAATTCCTTCCCAATATCCCATCTATCCCTGCCCTCTGGCAGTTTGAAACCATTCCCTGTGTCCTGTCCCTCCATCCCTTGTCCCAAGCCCCTCTCCAGCTCTTTTGGAGCCCCTTTAGGCCCTGCAAGGGGCTCTCAGGTCTCCCTGGAGCCTTCCCTTCTCCAGCCTGGCTTTGGACCCTCCCAGGGCTGGGGCAGCCACAGCTTCTCTGGGAATTCCATCCCAGCCCCTCCTCACCCTCCCAGGGGAGAATTTCTCCCAAATATAAGTTTAACTGGACAGTCCCCTCTTTATCCTTAACACAAAAGAAAGATCCTTCCTCTTTGCCATCATAGGATGTCATTAATAGTGTAATTTTCTTGGTGTTTTGTTTATTCCCCTGGAATGGGGCTTGATGGATGTGGATAATTATCAGACTATAAAAGCCAGCAAATGTGCTATTTTCTATCGCTCTAAATCATCAAACAAATAAAGTGTGAAACAGCATTTCTGAATACAATTTTCCCCTCTAATGGCTTAGAATTATTATCAGGAACAATGAAAATAAATAAGCAAATGTCTTGTGAGTTAAGAATTAAACAAGTGTTTCAGTAAAAACCAGCTGACAGGCCATGCTGGGATCCAGGGATCAGTCTGGAGGCCTTTAAGGAATGATGTCACAGGGAATTCACCATGGCAGGGACTGCTTCCAGCACCAGCTGCTCCTCAGGGACCTTCCAGTCTCAGATTCTCCTCATTGCTGCTGCTTCAAAATGGAGGAAATTCAACTTTTAGCTTTCAGTGGCCAAGAAGACACGAAAAATCTGTTCCATAACAAGCTCACACCTGTTCCCTCCCTGTTCAAGAGGA